GGGGGTCGGTGAGCCGAGAGCCGGGATCATATATATGTATGTATATATATATATATATATATATTGAGTGAAGGTCGGCACATGCGAAGTTTACGTGTCCGCTCCCGAAGCAGAGTTTCGCGAGTTGCTTCAGGATATGGGCGATGTTAGCGCATGCGCAGATGTCTTACAGAAGGATGTATTATTCATACGAATTCAGGGCAGAATGTTTCACAGAAACTTTTAACAATTTCTAAACGGCCTCGCGGCGCCGAGAGGCGGCCAGAGAGCTACAGCCCCAAGAGAAGCTCATGAGCCTTCATAACAATTACCAATAATAGTAGTATAGTAGTATCAATCATAAGAATAGAAATAACAGAGTTGTTCCTAACGTGGAATTCATGTCTTTAAACCGTGGCTTGGATGATCGCCTCGCAGCTTTGCGGCTCAAATCCGGTAGAGAGCAGAGGATGGCAGGTGCGCAGACCTCCGAGGCGCCGGGTAGGTCTTCCTATAGGGACCTTAAGGCGACACAAAGTGCTACTCGTAGTTCATGCAGGGTTGATGGTTCAGGAATTTATAGTAGGGTTTTGTCTTTAGGAGGGGCTCGGGGTTTCCAAGGTCTGCAGGTTTCAAGTTGATTCGGGATAATTAAAGGGTTAAACAGCACGTGTTTGAACCAAGTTTCGATAGGTTTGTGAATGATGGGATGCCCTGATACGGGACAACGTTTACAGCGCTTTCGGGTGCTCGAGCGTTCGGGGTGAGCGGGTTGCGGTTGGGAGTGAGAGAGGCGCGGCTTGGTGTGTGTGTGTGTGTAGAGAAGCTTGGGGTGTAGCTACTGGAAGAATCTCACCCCGATTCGTTCCCGACCTGTTTCACATCCTGAACCACAAAGCCTTCAAGCCCTCGAGTTGTGAGAGCGTAAACTTAAAGGAAGAGAGATTATTAGACTTCTATAAGCAATCATACCCTCATAACTGTAGCCATACTGTGGTATCATGAACACCTACCGAAAACCCTACCGAACACTTTTGATTTGGGAACAACTTCCGTTGGGTGTGCCAAGATTTTGGTATAATCTGGGACGTATGACTGCAGCCCAATAAAGCCAGATAGTTGTCCTGTAGTCCGTGTGCATAACACCAGCGTGGCTTTGAGACGCAGGCTTGTCGGAGGTTTGGTGTTACGAGGCCCCGGTAGGTTGTGCCGGACGGCTTGAGGGTCTTCTCGGCGAGTCTTGGATTGACGACCTAACCCGGTACAACCGGTACAAGTTACCGGGAGAAAGCAGTCGTGGGACCTCAAGCCTAAATCACGAAATCTTGGCAACACTTGCGCAAGTTTGTATGGGGCGATAAATATCAGGTTGAAGAAGATGTCACGTGCTAAACCGGTTGACAGAACTGTTGCTTGGGGGGGCCGCATCGCACCGGTTGTACCTGTTTTTCAAGTCATGCGGGGTGGGAAATGTGAGATGAACATTGGTTTTTGCGTATGCGTGCTGTTGTTGTCTGGTGTAAGCACCAACTTTTTTTGGCTGCCTGCCCGACGAAGCTACCTCGATGCACCCGGTCGGGTTTTAGGATGTAGGAAGTGTAGTGTTCAGTCTCATCCTAAACTTCCAAGACCCCAAATCCTTGACCCGAGTCCCTGGCAATCAGGTGGATACAGTCTTGAAGCAGTTCCTGAATGACTTTCCCAGCGTGATCGGCTCTTCGGACTCTGAGTCCCGATGGATATTCTGACGTGGGGGTCAGGGCCAGGGGCTATAGGGTTTCGAAGTCTGTGAGTCTAGGGTGGCCGCCTGCCCAGATGCTGGATAGATCGTCATACCGACAGCAGAGCCTGGAGTTTGAGGTTCACGCTGTGATTTTGGTCTGGGTAGTGGGTCTGCTTCGAGGATCGGGAATGCAGAGACTGCCTCTGAGGATGTGTTTCGGGTGATACTTTGCTGGAGCTTCACATCTCCTCTTGCACCATGTCATGGACAAGAATTCGCGTCATCATAGCACAGGTGCTGTTGAAATCAGCATGGCTGCTCTTCTTGTGGCTCTTATTCTGGTGTTTCGTGCTCTGCTGAAACGTTTGCATGAGTTGTTGTTTTGCATTCGCAAGAACTAGTTGGGTTTGTTGCACCTCCCGGCAATGCATCGGTTCGTGAATCGGCAGGGCTGCGTCCTAGGCACTTCATGTGACTTTCTTCCCGGAAGTCATGAGAAAGTCAGCTGCACAGGTGTGTTTGTTATGGTGTGTTTGTTCTTAGTCAAAAGGTCAGAGTTGAGTATCTCCTAAAAATCTGCGTGCGTAGTTCTTGTATCTACATACACAATCACACACATACATACATACATGCATACATACATACGTACGTACATACATACATACATACATACATACATACACACGTACACGTACACTCATGTCCCGGCACATGCATCTCGTCTGCTGCTGTTCTGCCATAATGCAGAGTCCAACCTGTGGTGTTCAGCGTTCAGGTTTCGTCGTGATCAATACCGATGGCATCCCGACGAAGTGGCACGAGAGCATGCCATACGAAAGGCCCTTGCTAACCACGACTGACAGCTGGCATGCACTCAAAAATGGAGAACAACTTTCGCTTGCCAGGGCTGTGATATACGCTGCGCTTATGTCTGCCGGGCCGTCAGATCACGACTTTTCGTGGTGTGCAGTTGCCCCCTCTCACCTTCTCCATGTATGTGCCGTGTGACAGCCAAGGACTTCGTTGCACACTGCAAGAAGAGCCTGCGGGAGCTCCTCAGCGGTCCCGCTGAATCTGAGCTTGCCAACGTGCCTTTCCTTTGGCATCCTTCTTTTGACCATGTTGTCAGTCGTGTCACTAGTGCCTTTTTCAGAGGATTTCGCGTGGTGCTTCAGAGATCTTATGACCTGGACAGCTGATGACATCTCTATTTCCTTTCGCAGCGCTTTGATCTTTTCGGTAAATCAGCAAAGTTCACGTCATCGTGTTGAGTATGATGAAAGCTCGGACTCTACAGGTACAGATCATGTTCTCGTTTGAGTCTTCAGCCTCTCCTTTCAGGTGCGGATCCGAACAAAGGAGGGCACGGAACTCATCTGCGTCACCCAGACCGAGTACATCTTCGTGGTGGTCCAAAACTGCACGCCTGTCCTGGTTGAACGGAGGGCTTACACTACACTGATGGCAGCCTGAGCTGAGACTTGCTACTGACTTGCCTTAAGAGCACTGCGTGGGGGCGTGTGGTGGACACGGTCGGTCCGGACGGAGCGTTCTGTTTGGTGGCAGCTTTCTCGCAGTTTTCGGGCCCTTCTTGATGGATTTCCATATTGGTTTCCTGGAAGGTCTCCCCAGGTGGGCAGATGGCTGCCTGCAAGGGAAGTACCGGATTCTTGGGTAACCCGTAACAGCTATCGATCTGATTGCCTGGCATCATTGACCTTGTGATACCTTGGGCCAGGCACCGGCAAGCCTTGGCAGCAGGCCAGGGCATCATGCACTTCGCAGTTTGCATGATCTCTGATCATGCCGATGCTCCAGGACGACGAGGGCGCTGCTACTGGCACCGGCGAAGGCTGCACAAACATGTTGCGCATGCTTTTCGCATTGGTTGTTCTGAATCTAGCCCTTGTGTCTTGGGCGGGGTGCAAGTTCAGTGTTGTTGTGGCCATCTGAATATCGCTGTGATGGACTGTCCATCCTGCTTAGGCCATGTACAGTGTCTAGTGCGGAACTCGCGGACACCAGAACGATGCTGGAAAGGCGGTGCATAAGGCTGCAGCCGGGGACGAGGCGAGCAGACGCTTGTTTGGCAGCAGTTGGATCCTCACGGATACGGTTTCATGAAGTGGGCTTCTCCAGTGTCGCTAGTCTGGTTGCGTGCTCGGCCATCCTCACGTAGAAGTGTCCAGCAAGGAGTGCCATTTAAAGACCTCTGGTGTCTTCTGTCTTCTCTTATTATGTGGCAACCACCGACTGCTCTCGACCCTCGCGAACCCTGTCATGCCCTGTCATGCTTAGTGAACTTCAGGGCATGTCCGGAGGGGAAGAGTTTTCGAAGGAATTGTGAGGGCATCGAATCTTTTTTTCTAGGCAGGCATTCGGAAGCGTGCTGAGATCTGTCCGGGGGTGGAGCGCTTTGGAAGCCCACCTTGCCAGCCGGATCCTGCAGAAGATGTATAGGTATAAGACACAAAGTTTATGATACTATGAAATACTGCTAATAATCTATACTATACATGATAAACCCTAAACCCCAAATCGAGAAGTGTAGCCTAAACCCTAATAGGTCTCGGCCCTCCGGTGGTTTCCAGGCACGGCGGCCCTGGCACGATCTTCCGGCAGCCCACCTGGCAGTGAAAGGTTTTTGTTCAGGCTCTCGCCTGCCAAGCGCCGCACTCCGTCCAGGCGTTTCTGAACTACGGAAAGCTATACCCTAACCCTCCAGGTGCCTACAAAATAGAGCCCTAGGGGCTCTAGCACGCTATATAGTAGATACCTGGGGATTAGGGATAGAACCTGCGTGTCAGAGGTTATGGTGGTTAAGAGTCACAAGTTTGCGGATAAAATGGATAAAGGCCGTTATGCCTGATTGCAGTCTCACCAGGACGACGACGCTTCACCGGGTAATACCGTCTCACCAAGTCTTAGGCCTTAGGCTTCCTGCATGATCGCCAATGTGCTGCTTGTGGGCATCTGCCTAGCAGTATGCGCGGAAGGTGCAAGGCAAATGCAGCGTGCATCAGTGAAAGTCTGCGATTTTTCAATCGCCTGTGCGCCGGGCAGGTCGACATTTTCTGAGTTTTGGTTTTAGCATTTAACCAACATATTGTTTTTGCCTTTCATAGTTGCGAGAAAATACTGAGACAAGGTACGTGTTTGTGCATGTATGAATACATACGCACATACATACATACACCGAGAGACGCTTTCTTCGATATATGATGCCGGCAGGCTGAGCTCGCCGCGAAGCTGCCTTTGAAGGCACGGTTTCATCTGCCTTCTGATGCTCAGGGACTCGGTGCTTGCTACTTAGACACTGTTGTGGTTTGTGATATTGTAGCTGGAAACCGGTGTCTGAAGAAGCTGTGTACCAATTGTGGCGCACTTTGTGGCTTCAGCAATCCACGGCTGATCCTGTGACAAGCCAGAGACGGGCGGCCCTCGCGGCTGGGGGGACTTCACTGGAACCCTATGCCTGAGAGAGGGGCAGTGAGAGAGAGACATCGATATAGATGTATGTATTCTACCCTGACAGTTGGGGGAATGATGTCGAAGTAGTGGTGGGCTACAGCCGAGAAGAAACCTGACACTCCGCTTTAGGCTGCTGACAGGAAAGAGAGACAGCTTTTCCAGAACACTTATGACACAACACTGTGGATTTCAGGTAACAGCTGAGCATAGTCGAGGTGCTCTGCAGTGCCTGTCCAACACGTTACGTAGATCCAGCACAGGCACCGCAAGCAGCGTCCCAGCCTCAAATTGCCGCGGTTGCTGTTTCTTGGCATGCTGCGATTGTTGGTCTTCTCTGTCAGCATTTGTCAAGGAACTGTGCGATACCGCGGGTGGACGCCTTGGAAATCGCTCCGGCGAAACCTTTGCTCCCTTCGGTGGTTCAGTGTGCCTGCACATCGGATCCTGCATGGTGCGATGTTCACAACTAAGAGCTAGAGTTTTCTGCATGTATTGACAGCTGCAGCGAGGTTGCTGCCTTGCCTTCCACGTCTTCGTTGGTGGAGGACCGCATTTGGCCGGACCTGTAGCTTCAGCTCCGAGTCCATTCTCTTTCTTTCAAGGCTCCTGGTACTGCTGCCGCTGCTCGTTACTAAGCAGAGTCATTATATTCTGAAACTAAGTTGTTGCTCGTTGCTGTTGATGTTGGCCTGGCTGCCGCTACTGCTGTGGTTGTTGCGGTCGTCGTTGTCGTTTCTTCTCGGTATTTCTGGTGATTCCAGTTGGTCTGGTTATTTACATTGCGATACCACGTCCAATCATTAATATCAAATCATAATAGCGCGATTCAAGCAAGCTTCACCAAGACCGCCATCAGACACCTCACGGTCACCGCCGCCACTACAACCACCACCACCAGCACCACCAGCACCACCAGCACCACCAGCACCACCAGCACCACCAGCACCAGCAGCGCCAGCAGCAGCACCAGCAGCGGCAGCACCAGAAGCACCAGCACTAGCACCAACCATATTTGTCACCATCATCGGACCATCATCACAAGATATCACAAGCATCATCATCACCATCATCATCACCATCATGACCATCATCATCATCGTCATCATCATCACCGTCATGACCATCATCGTCCGCATCATTTTCATCATCATCGTCCTCGTCTACAGCACCGTACTTTTCGTCCTCAACTTGTTTCTCAGACCACAGAGGAGCCGGCAGCAAGCCTGCAGGCGCCAGGGACATAATCTTCGAAGCTTCACCTTGAAGCTGCGCGCCTGGGGAACAATGCCATAATTTGAGGCGGTGAATCACGAAGCCAGGCCAAGAGAGAATGATTGCGGAAGTTCTTTTCACGATGAGCTCGAGGATAGTGTGATTTTCGTATGGAATCTGGAAGAGGCACCCTGTCTATTCGTTATAAGGAGGGGCCATTAGGATGCAGTGGCAGGGAGACAGAGAGAAATAAAGCAAGAGACAGGACGCATGTAGGCATGTCTATGGTAACATTCTGTTTGTAGGTGTATGGGCAAGTTCGAACTGATACATAAGCATGACTACAAGCCCACATATGTACACACATATGCATACACACACACAGACATACACAGACATAAATACATGCATACAGCTCGCACACATAAGGAGTCGTATACGCACTCTTACATGCATACTTCCGGAGTACGTGCATACTTGCATGCATACATACGTAGAGATACGGAGTAGATGAGATGGCAAATACTGCATAGACTGAAAGCAACTAATTACTGTAGATATTTAGGATGTTGTTGCATTGGTGAGCAAAGAAGATACGTAGGAATGGCATGACAGTTTTGTGAGCGATGTTGAACATGCTGTTGGCAAAGCGTGCGTGAAAATTCGAAACCTTTGGGAAAAGGATTTGCGAAAAACTAGAATACTTTGGAATTTCAGTCAGTGTGCAAGAGAAGGAGAAAGCACGGCAACACGCAAGACTGACAAATTATATATACCAGCACCAACTGATATTGTATTCGGATTAACAGCCCCGGGCCCCTGCGGTATCGGAAACAGGCTTCTCAATTTGGGTGGTTGAAATGCTCGGAGGCCATGATTGTGGAGAGGGGCAAGTTTGGCGAATTGAGTGGAGACTAGTCACACAAAAGCCAACGTGGAATAATTATGGCCTTCACTGGTTTCGACATCTGAATCAACAGTGAACATGAACGACCAGTGAGCAGTGCAAGAATTCAATTTTTAACTCTCGCATCTTTACAATTGAACACGCAGGGCATTAAGGGTGATCGCATACGTTTACTAGAGGGGCGTGTGGGTGTGTCAAATGTTGAGCTCGAAATCCACATGCTATGGCTGACGCGCAGGCTGGTGCTCAAGAGTTCGATCCTGAGTTTTTCGAATCGACTTTGTTGATGGCAGATAGTACCGAGGCTATGGTTGTTGGCCTTGTTGAGCGGGCCAATGCAGATATCATGTCATTAGGGGGGCTTGTGCCACAGGTGCTTTTTGCCTTTCTCGTATTGTCGCTGCGAGGGCAGCTTAGTGCTGGTGTACGGTTTGCTGAGCGTATCCAGATCGCAGCAGCAGTTTGCATGTGGGAGCGCAAAGTGGAGCGCAAAGAAAAATGCACATTCCATCTCGTCGAATCTCGCCTTCTTGCAGATACCGTGCATGGGGATGTGGACTCTAACCACGAGTTTGCTACCCCAAACTCGAACCCCTTGCGTTGGGGTAGGTGGACAGCGAAAACATTTTAAACCCCCGTAACTCAAGCACAAGCTTCTTCAAGCGCCGAGGTTCACCCTGTTCCAGGACTGGCTCGGCGAACGGTGGTTAGTGCCGGCATGGGGGAAGAATCCGAGCCTTCGAGCTGTGGCATAAACAAGACGACTGAGTCGCAGGAGCCGGAGGAGTTTTCCATCGCCACGGGCCGGGCCTTTGTCTTTGATCCAAATCTGAATCTCAGCTAGTGAGGGGCAGGGAATGAGCATTGATCTTGTGGTGCTGCCTCTCTGAGGGGTTTGTTGTTTCGCATCTGTCCCAACCACGTGGCTTGTGCAGCCGGCAGGTGTGAACACAACCCCTCGGGGCAGGCCAACAAGACTCGAGATTGTTGTCTCGGGTCCGTTCGGGTTTTGAGCTTGATTCACCCGCTGCATTATCGTTGTCGTCCACACTTTCCTGGTGTAACGTTTGCTCGGACGGTGCAGCAAGCCCTCATGCAAAACTTGCCGTCGCAGGTGTCGAGACGATGAGAGCGGTTCGTTGCCTCAGTTGTTGAGTTCGCCAGTGCGGGCAACTGATCAAACCCAGATCTGCAAAGACATAAAAACTCTGCGAATGGATGGCATTCACCATTCGTTATGCTAACACCGTTTCGGGCAAGATGATCGTGAGGGAACCCCTGGCCCTTCGCAGAACGAGAAAAGACGGAAACTCGAGTGCAGCCGCCTTGCGAAAAGAATCAACACGGGAGTCCCATCAAACCACTTGTGAAGCTCGCCCCAACAGCGGCTTTGTCGCGCTCATGTGTTGTTGTTGTTTGCTCTGATAGCGGGAAGAGGGTTGTTGTAGAACTTGTTGTAGGCCATACCACACCGGCGGCAGCACTGAGACTGCCAGCACTGCTTCATGCACGAACTAGAAATTGCATCCCCGATAAAATGTCCATTGATGAAATCCACTGTGTTCTGTCCTTGCCTCCTTAGCTGTTTCACCACTGCACCCATCTCATTCTCAACGGCCATGCTGTATTGCGTTGCACGTAAGGTTCTCGCCTTTTTCTTGCTCCCCTCCTTCTTTGCCTGCGTCGTTTGATGCTCCCAGGCTCCATAGATGGCCCACGCAAAGGAGATGAGCTCTGTGCGGCCGGGGTCGCCGAGTATCGATGCTTTAGGGGAGGGCAGATTGGTGACCGTGAATGCAGATTGTCAACTCGCCTTGTTCTTCTTAATCGTTGCCGGTTGTGGTGACATGAATGATATTGATGAGGGTGATGATTTAGGCTGCGGCCATGTCGATTCCGATGACTATGGTTTGTGCCCTGCGCCTTATCCTTTCAGAAGGAGCACCTACCATTGCTGCATTGGCATCGTGACAGCTCATCCTTCTTTGGAGTGCAGGCAGCAAGAGTTGAAAGCGAGTAATAAGACCTTTCGGCCGAAGACATCGCACGTGCAAAACCAGGCATGCGGGCAGTGAATAAGACAGAGATGTGTCGTCTTTGCGGATGGTTGTGGGATGAAAAGTTTCAAAGGCCCGAGAGTAGTGCTGCATGAGTGTATATGAAAGTTTTAGGGGGGAAAATCTGCTGAATAAGCCGCCCTAAACCCGAAACCCTGCCCAGAGACTCTCAGTTGCGAGAGTCCAAACTCTAAGACTCTAAGGCCAGTCCCACGTCGTCTGGCCCTTGTAGTATAACCTGAACCTCATTTGGCGAGCGCAAATAGCCTGGTAACCTTGTTGTAACCCCAAAACGCCCCTTAGAGCCTTGGAGTAACACGGCATAGTACCTTCTCAGGCTGCAGCTCTCGAAGCTGCTGCCCAGGTCGCCTCCGCGGCGGTCCCTCGGAGCTCTGAACCCTTAGGGTTTAGGGTTTTAGGGTTTAGGGGCTGCTTGCAAGAGTCCTGGATGCAAAAGGGTTTAGGGGGGAGTCGGCATGACAAGAGTAGTTGTAGTGCTCGTAGGCGTGGGGTAGTAGTATGAGGAGATGATGATAGCCGTCGTGAGCATGATAATAGCAAGCAGTAGCATGTTTCCTACTGTCGTTCAAGGTTTGCCAAAACTTGTGTCCTTATTGTCATTGCAATTACCACGAGAAGGAGCGATTTGCTGTGTGGATTTGCGTAGACACCCCAGGGAGGGCTCAGAAAAGCTCCTGGTCATCGCATTTGGGGTAAGAGGTCCGTCCGGGGTGGAAGGTACTTGTCACGCATGTCCAGACGGATTCCGCAATCCTCCTGATGCGTCACGCAGATCGGACTCAGCTTCTTCCTTCTCTCTGTAGTTCTCATAGTACACAGACCTATCATGATGGGAGTCAGCCTGGAGATATCCTGCTTCTTGAACGAAGGGAGAGGTCCGTTAAGGCCTAGGCACGCGATCCCTGGTGGGCTCTTCCAGCATCTGCCCCATCACGACTCCTGAAACTGGCCAAGAGGTTGCAGCGGCAGCTGCAACCACATGGGGGGACCTGTTGCCCTCGCCCGCGACTCAGAGAATACGACGCAGCCGCTGTTTGGTTTGCTGGTCGGCTTGTGCGACTTTGTGTCTTTCCACTCCGGAGGCTGTTGGAGCCAAGCCAAGCCAAGCCAAGCCGCACCTTCCCTGCAGTAGCCGTTCTTGCGCAGCCCCGATCCTCGATGGATCGCAGGCCAACCTAGAAGATCAGCCAGCCGTTTCCCCCTTTCATCATCCTCCTCCTTGCTCGTAGTATCTACGAGTTTCTTGAAGTTACGAAGGCTTTCGAGCTCAAGGCTTCAGTGTTTCTGTGTGCCTGTTCTGATGATCTTCGTGGGAAGAGGGCATGAGTTGGTGCACCCGAAGTTGTGACAGGAGTGTAAATTCATAAGCAAGCTACTCTCTTGCTTGTCATGGGCGCTTGTAAGCCTCGCGCCTCGCTTCGCACGTCAGAGAATGCAGCCACAAAAACTTCGAAGTCGGGCCGAGGGCGCACACCGTCGAGCCCATGACAGCCCAGGACGCTTGGGTTTATGGTTTGGAGTGAATTTGCTGTTTTTGTGTGTTCAGTTTCAGAGGTGGCTGAAGTTTCGTTTGCACGCAGTGGACAGACCTCGGGAATCGCAACCGGAGTCGCCCTGTCGGGCCAACTCGCATGAGTGAGTGGGACGGCAAGGAGCCACCGCACAAGCTTGACGAGGTCCTGGATGAGTCCAGCGCTCTGAGCAAAGAGAGTCTTGTCGTCTTCCTTTGCTTGTTCGGCCCTGCTCGTCCCGCCACGTCGTACAATGTGAGCTTGCTGTTCGCTGCCCAGTCACTGCAAAAAAACACCCATGAATCTGACCGTGCAGATTCGGGTCTCAGGCACAGATTTGCCCGCTCCTCGTTCATGGGTCCTGCAGCCATGGGTGAGCCTTCAGAACAGGACGAACAGGACGGAGCCTCCAGTATAGAAAGCGTGTCCGAAGCAGAAGACGTAAACACCGCTTCCTTTTGGGAGCTATATGCAAGGCTCGGCGAACGATACAAAGCAGACATGACGGCTTTGGGATCACAAGCAGATGCTTTGGGGCCCGCTTCTGCTTCCGCACAAACATCACACAGGCAGCTTCTACAGGGCACAAGTAGCAGTCTGATCTTCACTGTGCAAGAGGACGGCCAGGCAGGTGCTTCTACACAGGATGATGTAGCTACGTGGTCACCAGGTTCAAAATCACCACCGCACATGAAGTCTAACGCGAAACCGCTGGAAGATGCCCTTGCCTTCGAGCTCCGCACATCTTGGACGGATGCTGGAGATGGGAGCGGAAGCCCACGCATGCTCGGGAAGCGAAGGGCGGCCAGCTTGACAAGCCTGTGCTCTCAGCAGGAGGGCCTGGACTCCATGGACTTGGCGGAAACTGGAAGTCGGATCGCCGCAAAGCCTCGTTCGCTGGTTCTTGCACCGCATCAACGCTTCTAGGTCATATCTATGGCAACTTTTTGAGATGGTCCAGCAGCACAAAGGCAGGTAGCTCTACTCAGTTTGGGCTAGACTTTTAGCATCCATTCCCAAACGAGGTATCCGATTGCTGTGGAATGTGCTGTCAGCGACCTTTATACTCTGTGAGCTGGTTCTGATCCCACTTCATGCCTTTGAAGACATCTGGCCTCGGAACGAGATGAGCATTTTCAGCGTGTGCGAGTTGAGCGTTCACGTCTTCTGGAATCTCGACATGCTCGTGACCATGCGGACGGCAGTTTTCTCGCATGGGCATTTGGATTTCCGACAGTCTGTCATCCTCAAACAGTACCTGATGGGGTGGTTTGCTTTCGATGCGATCCTTGGCTCAGTTCTTGTTTGCCGCATGCAGGGCGCTTCCCCTCTTTAATGCAGTACAGTGCAGAGTACACAGATGCGTAGGTCCAACCCGAGATGATTTCATGTTCGTGCGGTGTTGCAAGGACATACGTGGTGGTTGGATGGGCCGCAATAGCTCTGAACTTACCGGCCCTTCGCCAGATACAAGTGGTGCTACTTTGCTTGCGGCTTTTCCGGCTGAGCAACACCGTTTCGGCACTGTCAGGCACAGCCGCGAGTTCTGCAAGAATACTGACACAAATATCGTAGTAGTAGTAGTAGTAGT